CCCTTTGTCACTCACACACTTCTGTATTGTTTGCAGGCTTTTCCTGAGCAAGTGTTCTGGGTATTACTGCATAATTAAGATGAAAACTGATTTTGAAGTACAGTGTGTATTCCAGGCCTCAGAGCAGTTTCACAACCAGATCTGGGGTGCTGGGGCCTCTCTGTCCCCAAGGACTGTTCCCCCAAGACACTGTGCTTGTCCCATCCACAGAGTGCCCTCACTTACCCCACCCTGTCCCAGGCCATGCTTCACAGTGAGGTGGACACAGACCCCCTGCAGGCCCCTCCCACCTGCTGGCTCATCTTGAGAGGGCCCTTGCCCCTCAAATCCTGTTTTCTCATCTGGAATATGTCCTAGTAGTACTTGCATCAGAGCCATTGTGAGGCTGTTTTCAGGAGAATTGGGGGCACAAAAATCAAGAGACTCCCTTCTCTCTGAAGACCCCAAGTTATCTTTTTATTTTATTATTATTATTTTGAGATGGGGTCTCGCTCTTCACCCAGGCTGGAGTTCAGTGGCTGCAACCTCCGCCTCCCAGGTTCAAGCGATTCTCCTGCCTCAGCCTCCTGAGTAGCCGTTATTACATCTGCGCGCCACCACGCCTGGATAATTTTTTAGTAGAGATGAGGTTTCATCATGTTGGTCAGGCTGCTCTAACTTCTGACCTCGTGATCCACCTGCCTTAGCCTCCCAAAGTGCTGGGATTACAGGCATGAGCCACTGCACCGGGCCCAAATTATCTTTTTCCAAAAGAGTATTCAGTGAATTAAAAGTAGAGCATGCTGGCCGGGCGCGGTGGCTCACACCAATAATCCTAGTACTTTGGGAGACTGAGGCGGCTGGATCACCTGAGGTCTGGAATTCAAGACCAGCCTGACCAACATGGAGAAACCCCATCTCTACCAAAAATACAAAATTAGTCGGGCATGGTGGTAAATGCCTGTAGTCCCAGCTACTCGGGAGGCTGAGGCAGGAGAACCACTTGAACCCAGGAGGCAAAGATTGCGGTGAGCCCAAGATTGTGCTATTGCACTCCAGCCTGGCCAAGAGCAAAACTACGTCTCCAAAAAAAAAAAAAAAAAAAAAAAAAAAAAAGGTGGGTGGGGGGCGCGTATAGAAGTCTTTAATAGGCCGGGCATGGTGGCTGATGTCTGTAATCTCAGCACTTATGGGAGGCCAAGGTGGGAGGATCACTTGAGGTCAGGCATTCAAGACCAGCCTGGCCAACATGGTGAAACTCCATCTCTACTAAAAATAAATAATAAAAAAAAATAGCCAGGCATGGTGGTACACACCTATAGGCCCAACTACTCGGCAGACTAAAGCAGGAGAATGGCTTGAACCCAGGAGATGGATGCTGCAGTGAGCTGAGATGGTGCCACTGCATTCCAGCCTGGGTGACAGAGTGAGACTCCGTCTTAAAAAAACAAACAAAAAAAGTCTGGGCGTGGTGGCTCATGCCTGTAATCCCAGCACTTTGGGAGGCCAAGGCGGGTGGATCATGGGGTCAGGAGTTTGAGACTAGCCCGACCAACATGGTGAAACACCATCTCTACTAAAAATACAAAAATTAGCCAGTCATAGTGGCACAGGCCTGTAATCTCAGCCACTTGGGAGGCTAAGGCAGGAGAAATCACTTGAACCCGGGAGATGGAGGTTGCACTGAGCCGAGATCACGCCACTGAACTCCAGCCTGGCAACAGAGCGAGACTGTCTCAACAAAAATAAATAAAAATAATGGGCTTGAGGCCAGGAGTTTGAGACCGGCCTGGGCAGCAAAGCAAGACCCCATCTCTAAATATATACATAAAATAGTGGCTTCTTCATTGCCAGTCCTCAACCAGCTAAGAAGAAAGGCATCAGTAAGCCTGGTGCCACGCTACAGCTGAGGAACTGAGGCTTGCTGAGGGTGCGTGACCTGGCTGAGGTCATGCCACCAAGCAAGCAGCAAAGCCCAGCCTCTCCCATCTCCCTCCACCTCCACTCAGTACCAAGCACCAATTCCGGGCACACACTGATCTTCCATTACTTCCCTCGGTCGAATTGTCTCCTGGACAATATCAATGGTCTCCAGATGGCATGAAGCAACCCCACTCTCTGGCCACCCATCCCCCACCTTCCAGGGACAGCAGGTCTGAGGGCACCTGCCTGCCATTTAAGTGTGGTTCAGCTCTCCTGTGAGGCAAGGGCAGGCCAGCCCCCAACTCCAGAGGGGAGGCCTGTCGGTTCCAGGGCCCCTGCCAAGCTCAGCTGGGAGCTGGCGGCAGTGACAGCACTGTGTTCCCCAGTGCTTGGAAGGTTCCCAACCCCTTGGCTGGAGAATGCAATGCCACTTCTCTTGTTAAATGGTACCAGGTGGCAAGGAAAATGTGGCACAGGGACCTGAAAGAGGTGCCCCATGCGGGCTGGGGGGCGGGGTAGGGGGTGTGGGGAAGGCCTCTGTATGTCTCCAGCAAAAAGTGACATCCCAGAAGAGCAGGCGGGCTGCATCTACACTGCCTTCCTCCCGTGCTTGGACCCCTAACTCCATCAGCCCCCCAAAGACTACTTTATTGCCCAGTCACACTGCAAAGCTACCCTTTTTGGCCCAGGACAGAGGGGCTGAAGACAATGTCACTCTCTGGGAAGGCTGGCCTTCCAGGCCTCTGCTGTTACTGCCCATCCCTTTAGGGACGGATATGAAGCTTCACCTCCAGCCTCTTCCTTCCGCCTTGGAGTCACCCCTCCTCCAGCACAGAGGCTGGCTTCCCCGACCAAGTGCCCAAGGGGCTTATCGCTGCTGGCGAAGGCCTGCTTGGGCCCAGTGCCTGGACTGTGCTGTTCTCACACTAAGGGCCTCTGCCCTTGGCCTATCCTGCCACCCTGTGCCCTCCCTCAATGCTGTGTCCTAGTGGTCCCATCCTGAGGCAGGAACCGTGGCTTGCTGACTGCTGCTTTCTATGGGGTACGGGGTGTCTCCACCCTCTGTATTGCTCAGGGCCTGCCCAGTGGAGATGCCCAAACCCCTTTTTCTTTTGACATAGAGCCTCGCTCTGTCACTCAGGCTGGAGTGCAATGGTGCGATCTTGGCTCACTGTAATCTCTGCCTCCCGGGTTCAAGTGATTCTCCTGCCTCAGCCTCCTAAGTAGCTGGGATTAGATGTGCGCCACCATGCCCAGCTAATTTTGCATTTTTAGTAGAGACAGAGTTTCACCATGTTGGCCAGGCTGGTCTTCAACTCCTAACCTCAAGTGATCTGCCGCCTTGGCCTCCCAAGTACTGGGATTATAGGCATGAGCCATCGTGCCCGGCCTCCAAACCTTTATTCAAGGATTAGGCACACAGGAAAACTGGAGGGAAGAAGCAGAAGACTGGGACTGGCTCTGCTGCTGGTTAGCTGTGTGACTGTGACACCTCCCATGACAAAGGTCTGTTTCATGAACTGTGAATTGGGGAAACGTGATCTACCTCATAGCTCTGCTGTATGAGAAGAGCTCTGTGAAGCGTAATGGGCCCTGCAAATGTCGGGTGACATGTGGGGCCTTGACTGGAATCTACACGACTGACGTCCTCAGCAGAGCCCAAGGATATGCCAGGAAGTCAGCCAGGTAACTACAACCCTTTACTGAGCACTAGGGGTGGGGCCTGGGCTAAGTTCCAGAAGGAACCTAGGGGCAGACAGGGCCACATCCCTGACACCTACAAGGAGTTAGGAGGTAGCCCACCCCTTAGTGAAGGGCATGGGTCCAGCTGTGATGGTGACATCAAAACAGAGAAACAGGCCTCAGGCTGGCCTCAGTGGCTCACGCCTGTAATCCCAGCACTCTGTGAAGCCAAGGTGGGCAGATCACCTGAGGTCAGGAGTTGGAGACCAGCCAGGCCAACATGGCAAAACCCCATCTCTACTAAAAATAGAAAAATTAGCTGGGCATAATGGTACACACCTGTAATCCCAACACTTTGGGAGGCTGAGGCAGGCAGATCACCTGAGGTCAGGAGTTGAAGACCAGCCTGGCCAACATGGTGAAACCCTGCCTTTACTAAAAATATAAAAATTAGCCAGGCATGGTGGCACATGCCTGTAATCCCAGATGCTCCAGAGGCTGAGGCAGGAGAATCGCTTGAACAAGGAAGCAGAGGTTGTAGTGATCTGAGATCACGTCACTGCACTCCAGCCTGGGCAACAGAGTGAGACTCCATCTCTACCAACCAAAAAAAAGGTGCGGAGGCCCTGAGGTCCAAGGTGCTGCCCAGGGTTTCAAGCAGGGTCCATCCTGAGGCCTGAGGGCAGTCCGTGGCACGTGCAGGGTGGAGGTGGGGAGGGCACTGTCAGGTTCCAAGGGAGTCAGGACCCGGCTCTCTTCCTGAGGTTTCTCCTTCTAGACACTCCCTTCACCCCCAAGTTCCCATGTGCCAAGCCTGCTCCATGCAGCCGCAGGAGGCTTGACCTGGCTACAGGACTCCTAGAGTCCAGTTGGTGCCTTTACACATTTCCAATGAGACCCAAGGAAGAAGGAACACAATGGTCACTGCACAATCTCTCACCATCAAACCAAACACAAGCCCTCCAGCCAGCTTCTCTCACTTCTTGCAAACTTCCAACATGGTGCAATTCCTTATTTGTACCAGTTTTTGAACTCTGCTGTGTGATTTCTTTTCTTATCTTTGAAGACAGAGTCTCACTCTGTTGCCCAGGCTGGAGTGTAGTGGCATAATCTCAGCTCACTCCAACCTCCGTCTCCCAGGTTGAAGCGATTCTCCTGCCTCAGCCTCCGGAGTGGCTGGAACTACAGGCACCTACCACCGTGTCTGGCTAATTTCTGTATTTTTGTAGAGATGGGATTTCACCATGTTGGCCAGGCTGGTCTCAAACTCCTGACCTCAAGCGATCCGCTTGCCTTGGCCTCCCAATGTGCTGGGATTACAGGCGTGAGCTGCTGTGCCAGACCCACCCTGCCCTATTCTTAATTGCTCTGAGTCAGTTTCCTCGTCTGCAAAGTCAAAGTGGTAAATTAGACGAGTGATTTTTAAACTTTTTTTAGCCACAGACCTTTTGTTCAAAGGAAACCTTAAATGGAGATGTAACACACCAGCTACTTAAAGACACAAGAATCTTCGAGAGTGAGCGTGGGAGTGGGAGGGGGCTGGAGTCCCATCAGCTGGGCCCCTTGCTGCTTCTGCCCAGCTCTCCCTGCTAGAGTATGGGCACTACAGGGAACCAACCACTGAGGGCTGAGCTGGGGCTGTCAAGCCCTCAACATCCTCAACAGAGAATGTGTATGGAGTCAGCAAGAAGCCATGGGGAGGAGCAGCCCAGGGCCAGCTGCCCTCACATGTCCTCCAGTGAGGGGCCCTCAGAGCTTCTCAGCAGGGACAGCAGGTTCAGAGCCGAGACACCAGGCACGTGGCCGGCGCACATCTGCAGCATGCGCACCAGGCGCTGTGCCATGGTGGCCCGAAAGCCTTCCACCTGCGGGGAGAGCAGAGAACAGCGGTGAGACAGAACTCAACAGCTGGCCCTGCTCCCTTACCCAGAGCAGCTGCAGGGGCTGCCAGAGCAGGGCTGGGGGCAGAGACTCAGGGGCAGCTCAGGGCACCACTGCCCATCATGGCCACGCCCTCATTCATACCACACCTCAGAGTAGCTTCCAACTGCCTCAGCTTCCCCAATCCTTCAAACCACCTCCCGAGACATCCAGAGCCCGATCTCCTGTTCAAGAGGAAATGAAGGCTCAGGCTGGGTAGGCCGATTGAACTTTTTAGGGTCACACGGTGACTGCAGAGCTGAGCTCTGAACCAGAGCTGCTTCTGACCAATGCCTGGGCAGCAGAAGCCCCAAAGGCTCAAGACCAGGGAGCATAAGACACAGCGATGGGAAGGAGGGAGGGACAGTAGGTGGCCCTCACCATGGATAAGAAAGTGCCATCAAAAAGGAATGGCCTTAGGGGAGCTGTGGGACCAGAGAGGGACAAGACTGTCCAAGGCCTGGGCACAGATGCTCTGGACACGTTCGTTTGAAGAACAAATGACGCTGCTCAGTGTCTTCCCCTGGCCAACAGGCAGCCGCAGAAGCATCTCACCTCTGTTTCCTCTATAGCTGGGGGCAGGCCGGGGTGTCACCACCCACTGAAACTGGAGCACTAGAGACCAAGGCATCCTCAACTACCCTGCTCTTACTCCTACCACTTGTCAGCATGACCTCCTTGGTATGAGACCCAGCGTCAGCGTCTCAGTCCTCACCACACTGGCGCCATTGGCAGAGTCGAACACTGCTGTTTACTCCCTCCTTGAAATGCTTTTTCCACCTGGCTCCCAGACCCCCATGCTCACTCAGGGTTCCTCCCCCACACAGGGTGCTCCCTTGCCTTTTCCCAACATCTACAGGCTGGGGCTCCAGAGCTTGGTCCTTCAGTCTCTTCTCCCACTCAGTCCTCAGGTGACCTCCTTCAGTTCTGTGGCTTTAAAACCACCTAGTTGCTATTAACACCCAAAGTACACCTCCAGATCTTCCCTGTGAATGTAACACATGTATGCAGCTGTTTACTTGATTTCTCCACCTAGGTGGCTAATGGACCCCTTAATTTTAGCATGCCCAAAACAGAGCCCCTGAAGCCCCACAAAACCTGCTCCTCCTGCAGGTTTCCCCATCTCAGCTAAAGACAACTCTGTCCTTCCAGTCAGCGCCAAAACCTTCAGAGTCAGGGAGGACTCTTCTTTCTCTCATGCCTCATGGGTTGGCCACAGCAGGGTCTGCTGGCTCTATCCTGGAAACAGCCAGTGTCACAGACCATTCCATCGTTCCCTTCCCTGGCCAGCACTGAATCCACGCTTCACTCCCCTAGGAAGAACTTCTGGACCTGTCCGTTTTTGCCTTAGTTTCCCTTCAGTCTGCTCTCCTCCCAGCAGCCAGAGGGGTCCATTTAAAACCCAAGTCAGGACAGGGCACAGTGGCTCACGCTTATAATCCCAGCATTTTGGGAGGCTGAGGTGGGCGGATCATGAGGTCAAGAGATCGAGATCATCCTGGCCAACACGGTGAAATCCCATCTCTACTAAAAATACAAAGATTTGCCGGGTGTGGTGGCTCATGCCTGTAGTCCCAGCACTTTGGGAGGCCAAGGCAGGCAGATCACAAGGTCAGGAGATAGAGAACATCCTGGCTAATGCGGTGAAACCTCGTCTCTACTAAAAATACAAAAAAAATTAGCCAGGTGTGGTGGAACGTGCCGCGCCTGTGGTCCCAGCTACTTGGGAGGCTGAGGCGGGAGAATCACTTGAACCCAGGAGGCGGAGGTTTCAGTAAGCTGAGGTCGCACCACTGTGTTCCAGCCTGGCAACAGAGCGAGACTCTGTCTCAAAATAAAATAAAACAAAAATACAAAAATTATCCAGGCATGGTGGAGCACACCTGTAGTCCCAGCTACTTGGGAGGCTGAGGCAGGAAAATCACTTGAAACTGGGAGGTGGAGGTTGCAGTGAGCCAAGATTGAGCCACTGCACTCCAGCCTGGCGACAGAGCAAGTCTCCACATGGAAAAAAAAACCCAAGGCAGGCCACATCCCTCCCTGGCCCTGAGCCCTCCAGGAGCTCCCCACCAGGCCCTACTGATCCAGCCCCACTGTTCCTGATTCTTCCCCACCAGCCCTTTGCTGCTGTGCTCTAGCCACCCAGGCCTCCCTTCAGGACTTGGAGCACATGAGGCAAGTTCCACACATGGCCCATGCGCCTGCCGTTCCTCCTGCCACCGAGTATCTCCGTGGCCTGCCCTCCTACTTCCTTCAGGTCTTTATTTATTTAAAAGTCCTGTTTGCAGGGATGCTTCCTGGTCACCCTGTCTAACTCTTGCCTGTTTACCACCACCTGACATGCCACGCTTCCACTTTCCAGTAAATCATTTACTCTGTTTGTTTCCTTGACTAGAACAAAGCTGGGACTTTTTTTTTTCTTGAAACAGAGTCTCACTCTGTTGCCCAGGCTGGAGTGCAGTGGTGCAATCTTGGCTCATTGCAACCTCTGCCTCCTGGGTTCAGCCTTAGCCTCCAGAGTAGCTGGGATTACAGGCATGTGCCACCATGCCTGACTAACTTTTGTATTTTTAGTAGAGACTGGGTTTTACCACGTTGGCCAAGCTAGTCCCAAACTCCTGACCTCAGGTGATCCTCCCACCTCAGCCTCCCTGGGATTATAGGTGTGAGCCACCACGCCCAGCAGGAAACTGGGTTTTTCTTTCCTCCCAAGATGGAGTCTTGCTCTGTCGCCTAGGCTGGAGTGCAGTGGCACAATCTCGGTTCACTGCAACCTCTGCCTCCCAGGTTGAAGCAATTCTCCTGCCTCAGCCTTCTGAGTAGCTGAGATTACAGGCACCAGCCACCATGCCCCACTAATTTTCAGTATTTTCAGTAGAGGTGGGGTTTCACCATGTTGGCCAGGCTGGTCTCAAACTCCTGATCTCATTTTGCATCCGCCTTGGCCTCCTAAAGTGCTGGGATTACAGTAGGGCATGAGCCACTGCACCCTGCAAGAAGCTGGATTTTTTTTTATACTGTTTTCCTCTGTGCTGTGTTCCTGGAACCTAGAACAGTGCTTGGCACTATAGAAACTCAGGAAGTATTTTTTGAATAAATTTACTCCAGATTTGGTGGGCTTTGTCCCTGAAATCTATCTCTAAGCTGCTGAGGCTCAGGTTCTACAACCTGCCTCCTGCAGCAGCTCGACCCAGCCTCCTGCCTCTGGCCAGGCCTCCTCCAATCCACATCACTCCAGAGACGTGACCCAAAAGCCCAGGTCTGACTACAATCATGACTTTGCCCGTGACATCTAGGAAGAAATGACCTAATTTCACCACCACACTCCCAAAGCTCCTTCTGCTGTTGCGTATGTTATATGTCTGTTTATTTCATGAGATTCTGAGAGGGTAGGGCCCATATCTGACTCATTTGTGTTCCCGGGGTCCAGCATAGAGCCCTACCAGCAGACCTAGGACATTATTTCACTGGGTTAATCACACACCTTCCTCTGTTTCCTCATCAATGAAACGGGGAGGATAATTCCTGCCACGCAAAGGCCTCAAGATATATGGTAGGGCTCAAACTCAATTATGCAGAAGAGTGTTCAAAGAGGACAACACCAGGATGAAAAGCGAGGCCAGTTCAAACCCTGGGTCCTTCATCTGAGGGATGCAGGTGTATGTTCCGAGCAGGCATTTCTGCAGCTCCTGCTGCTGGCTGGAACCAGGCTTGGGCCTCTTGCTTCCTGCCTAGGCCATGAGAGAGCCCAGGACCTGGCCTGGCCCGCCACCTCGTGACCACAGACAGAACTGCACCACTTGTCACAAGGCGAGCAGGCACCACTGTCCCCCACCAGCACCTGAACTATGGAGCAAAGATGGTGATTCCCCTTTAGAGATGAGAAAACTAACACTTTGTGGCAGGGAAAGTGACCTACTCAAAGTCACATGGTCAGCAGTTTAGGACGGGAGAGACAGCTGCATACCCACCAGCTGGCTCTACCCCTCACTCACGAGCCGTATGACCCTGAGAAAGTCACCTCTTCTCTCTGGGAGGAAAGCCTGGCAGGGACAGGCACTTGAGGTGTGCCCAGGCCTCAGGTTCCCATCTGTGAGATCAGAGCGCTGATCTGGTCAGGGGCTCTAAAGGTAGTCATCAAATAGGGAAACAAATGTGTGACAGAGTCAAGTGTGTATCGTGATGGATGCATCGACTGAGGGGCAGGTCTGACAGCTGCTGCCATGTGAGGCAGTGATAAGATCTGACCAATCCTAATGTGATACGAAAACATCCCCATTTAGTCCTGGCGCAGTGCCTCACGTCTGTACTCCCAGCACTTTGGAAGGCCGAGGCAACTGGATCACAAGGTCAAGAGTTTGAGACCAGCCTGGCCAATATGGTGAAATCCTGTGTCTATCAAAAATACAAAAATTAACTAGGTGCAGTGGCAGGTGCCTGTAATCCCACCCACTCGGGAGGCTGAGGCAGGAGAATCACTTGAACCCAGGAGGCAGAGGTTGCAGTGAGCCAAGATCACGCCACTGTACTCCACCCTGGGCAACAGAGGGAGGCTCCATCTCAAAAAAAAAAAAGGAAGAAAGAAAGAAAGAAAACACCCCCATTTCTACTGGTGACAGTCACAGACTGCTATCACCAGAGGAGTGTCCTGACACCAGGATAAGGGCCCCTGGTCTAGATGGCGGTGATGGATTGGTGGTGACCGATCATGTGCTGACTCGGTTCTCCCTGCATTGCATCACTTTGCCTTTGGTAACAGGCACAAGACCCAGAACAGAGCAGAAACACAACTCTTCAAAATACATCTCAAAACCAATAAACAGGTTTCCAAAGGAACGGAGCAGGCCTGGTGCATAGGTGGGGCAGCGTAGGCCCTGAGACCCCTCAGTAGACCCCTGGGGGTTGTGGGGAACATATCAACTCCTGCTGATGCCTCTTTAGCAAAAAGTCATCAGGATTTATCTTGCATAAAAAGTGGCTGAGCCGGGCGCGGTGGCTCAAGCCTGTAATCCCAGCACTTTGGGAGGCCGAGGCGGGTGGATCACGAGGTCAAGAGACCGAAACCATCCTGGTCAACCTGGTGAAACCCCGTCTCTACTAAAGATACAAAAAATTAGCTGGGCATGGTGGCACGTGCCTGTAATCCCAGCTACTCAGGAGGCTGAGGCAGGAGAATTGCCTGAACCCAGGAGGCGGAGGTTGCGGTGAGCCGAGATCGCGCCATTGCACTCCAGCCTGGGTAACAAGAGCGAAACTCCGTCTAAAAAAAAAAAAGCGGCTGAAAGCCAGGCGCTGTGGCTCACGCCTGTAATCCCAGCACTTTGGGAGGCTAAAGTGGGAGGATCACTTGAGGCCCGGAGTTCAAGACCAGTCTGGGGAACATAGCAAGACCTCAACTGTACATTAAAAAGTAAATAAATAAATACCTAGCTAGGTGCGGTGGTGCATGCTTGTAGTCCTAGCTACTCAGTAGGCAGAGGTGGGAGATTCACTTGAGCCCAGGAGTTTGAGTCTGCAATGAGCCATGATCACACCACCGCACTCCAGCCTGGGCAACGGAGCATGACCTTATCTAAAACAACAACAGCAACAAAAAGGCTACTTTCCTACCCTCCATGGTTAGTTTCCCCTTGTGAGAAACACCAACAGAAGCCAGTCAGGGCAGAACCAACACCCTACCTATCCATCCATCTACCCACCTACACAACAAACCTCCCTACTGCCTGCTAGGTACCCTGGCTTGGGCTAGGACTAGATCAGGTCTGCAATCCAGAGAGGTAAGGGCAAATCAGGCATTCTGACTGCCAACGGACATGAGGATGCATCAGTTAATGGAGACAGACATTTGCCCGGCCTCACAATCATTTACACTCCAGCAGGAGAGTGGACTCACAAATACAAACACGTAAGACTTAGTTGTAAGTAAGTACGCAGAAACGCAGCGAAAGGAAAAGCAGGCAGCACGTGCTAGAGCCTGGCATATAAGATGCACTCCAGATGAATGTACAGCACCTCCGCTTTACACCTGTGTACCCCAAGGCTCAGGGTGACCTGCCCAGGTCACAGCCAGTGAGCAGAAACGCCAGGATCCTGTGTCTCCCTCTACCTCAGGAGCCGCCTTGCTCGGATACTCAGTGCTTCGGTAAGCATTCCCGATGTGCCCCCTGTGTGCTGACCACCCCGTTTCCCGCACCTGAGTGCAGTGTTGGTCCCTGTGATCAGCATGCTCACCTCCAGGTCACAGTAGAGCAGGGGGCTCTGGTAGGTGTGGGCCAGCTTCACCATGGTGTGCCGGTGAATGCTGCAGTGGCTCTCCCGTCCAGCTGCAAAGAAGCGATGAGTGCTACAGCTGCAATCTCTGTCTTCCTGGATGGAATTCAGGAAATGCTGGGCAGAGTAACTCACTTCCCCGCTCTGGGGCTCAGTTTCTTTCTAGTTGCGAGTGTGACAGTCCTATTCTACTTTCTTTTCTAGGTAGTTAAGAATATCAAATTAGACAATGAAGATAATAATAGCTCCTACCCTACTGAGTCACTCTGGAGTCAGTGAGTTGACATGTAGAAATTATCTGGCCTTCATTTGCTCACCAATTCTTCTTGAGAATTATCTGTGCCAGGTGCTCTGCTCAAGGAGCTAACAGTTCAGCAGGGAAGGCAGACAGGTCAGACATCTCATGCATGCTACAGTGACACCGGGGCTGAGTTTTGAGGTATATGTAGGGGTTACAAGACAAACAAAAGGAAATGTATTTGAGAGAAGCCTAGAGTAACTATAAAGAGTACGGGCGCGGTGGCTCACCCCTGCAATCCCAGGGCTTTGGCAGGAAAATGCGGGTGGATCACCTGAGGTCAGGAGTTCAAGACCAGCCTAGACAACATGGTGAAAACCCCGTCTCTACTAAAATACAAAAATTAGCCGGTCACAATGGTGGGCGCCTGTAATCCCAGCTACGCGGGAGGCTGAGATGGGAGAATTGCTGGAACCTGGGAGACAGTGGTTGCAGTGAGTGGAGATCACGCCACTGTACTCCAGCCTGGGTGGCTGAGTGAGACTGTTTCAAAAAAAAAAAAAAAAAAAAGAGGATGGGCCTTGAAACAGGACCTCCCCAGGTGTGAACCTTAGCTCTACCACTTTTTATCTAGGGGCCTTGGGCAAATCAACCTTATGACTATAAAACTGAGGTAGTAATACCTACCTCAAACATTCATAGATACAAAAAGCAATTACACTGTCTGCCTCACAGTGAGAGCTCAAAAGAGGCTTGCCATTATTATTTTCACTGTTAATATTACAAAGTCTCAGGAACAGCAGGGCTTTTTCTGAGAACCATAAGCTGATCCAAAGAAATAGAGTAACAGGAGATGAGACCAGTCCAGAAGGCAGAGGCCCAACTGCAAAGTACTTTGTGTTTTTAGAGGAGTTTGGATTTTACTGAAAGTCACAGGCAATCACTAGGCAACTCCAAGCAACAGAAGAATTATCTGCTCAGATTCATTCTTAGATTCCAAAGTATGTGTTCTTTTGTTTTTTTAATTTAACTTTTATTTTAAGTTCAGGGATACATATGCAGATTTGTTATATAGGTGAACTTCTGTCATGGGGTTTGTTGTACAGATTATTGTCACCCAGGTATTAAGCCTAGTACCCATTAGTTATTTCTCCTGATCTTCTCCCTCCTCCTGCCCTCCACCCTCTGACAGGCCCAAGTGTGTAAAATACATGTTCTTTCCATCACCCAAGCCACCTTGGCAAGGAGTCTACCGCCCCAGCATTCCCTTGGCTGGGGGTGGGCAGTAGCAGGTGAGGGACGTACTTACCGCCTGTGGCGAGGAAACACACCTTCCCCAAGAAGAAGCTAGCATCCACATGGTGCAGGGACTCCTCTGTGTTCTGGAGGCTGTGGTGACCAGGCCAGGGTAAGAAAACAAACCAGAGAACAAAACTTTACCACAGAGAAAGCAGAAGCCCTTGCTTCTCTGATCCTAGAGGCCAGAGAATGACAAAAGGGTGACATTCTCTGGAGAAATACTTGTCCTTTAATTAACTAATTAATTTTTTGAGATGAAGTTTCACTCTTGTTGCCCAGGCTGGAGTGCAATGGCACAATCTCAGCTCACCACAACCTCCACCTTCCAGGTTCAAGTGATTCTCCTGCCTCAGTCTCCCGAGTAGCTGGAATTACAAGCATGCGCCACCACACCCAGCTAATTTTTATATTAATTTTTTTTTGAGATGGAGTTTCCCAATCTTGGCTCACTGCAATCTCCACCTCTCAGGTTCAAGTGATGCTCCTGCCTCAGCCTCCTGAATAGCTGGGATTACAGGTGCATGCCACCATGCCTGGCTTTTTTTTTTTTTTTTTTTTAGATAAAGTCTTGCTCTGTCACTAGGCTGGAGTGCAGTGGTACGATCTCAGCTCACTGCAACCTCCGCCTCCTGGGTTGAAGTGATTCTCCTGCCTCAGCCTCCTCAGTAGCTGGCTGGGATTACAGGCACGTGCCACCACACCCAGCTGATTTTTGTATTTTTAGTAGAGACGAGGTTTCACCATATTGGCCAGGCTGGTCTTGAACTCCTGAACTCTCTCATCCTCCCCACTTCCTTCCCATCACAAGTTAGATCACTGTCCCAGCACACTCCTGAGCCAGGCCTGCCTGAGTCCTGTCCTCTGGCTCTCACCTGTATTTGCTGTGAAGATTAACAACAAACACGATCAGGTCAATTCGGGGCCGATTCACACTGGAGGGCAAAGGGAGGGACTTTGCCAAGTGGCTGAAAAACAGGAAATTGCAGGACTCAAGATATCCATACCCACCACACAGCCACCGTTTAAATGCTGCCTTTCATGGGGTAGGGTCTGTCAAGGGCTCTCGACCTCACCCTAACCACACGAGGCTCTTGTGGCCATGACTCCTTGGGCCAGCACAGAGGCAGGACAGGGCCAGTCCTATTCAAATCACTCCTGTCTGATTCCCTTTGCCTTAAAGGGGCTCTGTTTAGTCACCACCTCGGCAAGGAGGTTGGGACTTGCCAGCTACGCTGCATGCTGGGAGAAGGCCCAGGGTCAGAGGAGAGGTCGCTGGGCCTCGGGGTTTAGCAGCTAGGACTGAATCCCTCTAGGGTGAGAGACACGTGAGCCAGGCTACTGCCTACTTACACCTTCAGCTCGGAGGCGCAGTCCTCCTTGAGCATTGAGTCCGCCAGCTGCTGCAGAAGAGCATCCTCCGTGCCCACCAGCTGCGCAGGGAGACAGAGAGAGCGGTAGAGCCCCGGACACCATATTCCCTGGGGAGGGCCTGGCCCTTCGACCCACACTCCCGGGGGGATCGGGCCGCCGCGCGCAGGCGGCTCGGAGGGCATTTCCCGAGAAGCGGACCCCGCGAGGCGGCACAGGCTGGTGGGTGAGGTATGGACCCGCTGCAAGCCTGTGAGCACCGCACTTTACTCCCCCGGACCCTCGCTCCGACCACTGGCCTCACCAGGAGTCCAGGCCCCCAGACGCTGACCAGGCAAGTCCAGACGCGGAACAAGCAAGTCCAGGCGTGGAAACCTGCCAATCAGAAGCTGGAAAACGGCCCGCCGCGCACCTATTGGTGAGTGCGTCTCTCAACCTCAGAGAGTGGCTACTCCGATTGGTTCAAATCGTGGCTCTCCGCCTATTCCCCGCCCCCGCCGCAGCGGCGCGCGCTGGCTTGGCGCTTCGGGGAGCTCAGTCGACATGGGGGCTGAAGCTCCGCCAAGGAGGAAAGGCCGGCTGGGGAAGCGGGGCCGCCGGCACCTACCAAAATGGTGGCCGTGTTCAGCCTGGGCAGCTTATCCAGTGGCCTCAACACCGACATCTGAGCGGCAAGGCCGACAGCAGCTCTTGCGGTGCGCGCCGACCTTTCAAACCGCCCTGAGTCCCGCCCCTAGAGCGTGGCCTGGGGGCACGTGCCTCCTTAAGGGCGGGGCTTCGCGTGGCGGGACGGGGCCTCCTCTTAAAGGAACCGAACGCCTGTCTCGTTTTCTGAGGGGCGTTCCAGCGTCACCCGTGGAACACCTGGTGGACAGGTCTTTTGTCCCACGCTCCACAGTAAGCAGGTTTTTAGTGATTTCTTTCGTTCATTCATGCTCACAGTACTTTTTTTTTGAGAAGGAGTCTCCCTCTGTTCCCCAGGCTGCAATGCAATGGCGCCACCTGGGCTCACTGCAACCTTTGCCTCCCGGGTTCAAGCGATTCTTCCGTCTCAGGCTCCCGAGGAGCTGGGATTACAGGCGCGCGCCACCACGCCTGGCTAATTTTTGTATTGTTAATAGAGACGGGGTTTCTCTAAGTTGTCCAAGCTGGTCTCAAACTCCTGGCCTCAAGTAATCTGCCCGTCTCGGCCTCCCAAAGTGCTGGGAGTACAGGCGTGAGCCACCGTACCTGGCCTTTTTTTTTTTTTTTTTTTTCTTTCTTTTTTTAGGAGTGTCACTGTGTTGCCCAGGCTGGAGTATAGTGACATATCATAGCTCACTACAGCTTCGAACTCCTGGGCTCAAGTAATTCCTGCCTCAGCCTCCTGAGTAGCTGGGACTCCCGGCGCACACCAGCAGGCCCTGCCAGTTGACTGCTTTAATAGTGCGTGGTAAGCATGCTGTTCTCCGTCCAGTCGGAGACTTTACCTTCTGTTTCAAGGTTCCTTGCTGCAAATCCAGCCTGAGTACAAAGCTGTCAGGGTCTTGTGCAGGGGCCCTCAGGGCCCATAGCGGACTGGTTCTCCCAACAGCTGTATAATTACCTGTTTATTGTCTCTCCATCTAGAATGTAAGAAACAAGAGGTTAGAGACTTTTGTCACTGTTAAAACGTGCGCTCTGAACGAAGACAGCCCTCCAAACAGGCCTTGTGTAATCAACATGGCTGTTTATTCACCTGGGTGCGGACGGGCTGATTCCGAAAAGACAGTCAGCCGAGGGCGGTGGGAAAGGAGTTGGTTTTATAGGTTTGGGGTGGGCAGTGAAAAGTTACAGAACTTACAGTTTAGGGCGGTTTTTTGCAAACTGGGAGGGGGGTCATAGGATGTGGAGTCACAAGGTTGCCCAAAGTCCAATGGCATTAACAATTGGGGTGGGGAATGTCTCAAAGTTAAGTAGGTGTTCCAGGGGTTGATGATTTCTTCCTCTTTTCATGGTCTTCCAGTTACTTCAGATTTTCCAGGAACTCATCTGGAGTGTCTGTGCAGGTCACAGAGATTAACATGATGGCAATGGTGCCTTCAGTCAGCCTAAAAGACCTTACATTCCTGTCTCTTAAAGGGAAAAGAAGAGTGGCAGCGGAACATCAGGAAGGCTGGCGCAGAGGAGTGATGGGGCGATGTTTCTCAGGGCTTCTTTGCGTGGGATTGGGAGCGGCACGGAAACCTAAAAATGGGAAAGAATTTAGACTGCTGGGAGATCGTGGGGCAAGGGATGATACTGTGGGTTGTTAGGAGCATTTGTCATATTGACTGATTGGTTATCGCTTGTATACGATTTTGTAGGATTGAGAGATTAATTGGAAAACACAGGGTACAAATAAGAGAAGGAGAAAGGCCGGGCGCGGTGGCTCAAGCCTGTAATCCCAGCACTTTGGGAGTCCGAGGCGGGTGGATCACGAGGTCAAGAGATCGAGACCATCCTGGTCAACATGGTGAAACCCCGTCTCTACTAAAAATACAAAACATTAGCTGGGCATGGTGGCGCGTGCCTGTAATCCCAGCTACTCAGGAGGCTGAGGCAGGAGAATTGCCTGAACCCAGGAGGCGGAGGTTGCGGTGAGCTGAGATTGCGCCATTGCACTCCAGCCTGGGTAACAAGAGTGAAACTCCGTCTAAAAAAAAAAAAAAAAAAAAAAAAAGAGAAGGAGAAAGGTATCAAGGACTAAGGGTTGGAAGAAGCCATGACTCCATTAGAGAGTGTCCAGCCAGTCCAGCCAGGTCCAGAATAACCCCCTAGGAAATCTCCCACTCCCTTTGTGCTTCTTTACACTTCACCTCAAGAGCCCTGCTACCCACATTAACCAAAAAAATAGGAGCATATGATCTGCACATCATATAAAAGCCTCCCCTATTACTAGCAGCCTTAAAAACATCAATAGCAGGTCTTGTCTAGACAGGCGTTTACCTTGTCTCTCACTTTACCCTTGGGGACCCTCCCCTTGCTGCTCAGACTCTCCTTCAGACCCCTCTTCCTGACTGCTCATACCCAGTCTTGTTAATGAAAGTAAATGGTGGCTGGTTATGGTGGCTGGTTATGGTGTCTCACGCCTGTAATCCCAGCACTTTGAGAGGCCAAGGTGGGTGGATCACGAGGTCAGGAGATAGAGACCATCCTGGCCAACATGGTGAAACCCTGCCTCTACTAAAAATACAAAAAAAAAAGCTGGGTACTGTGGCAGGCACCTGTCATCACAGCTACTCAGGAAGCTGAGGCAGGAGAATAGCTTGAATCAGGGAGTTGGAGGTTTCAGTGAGCCGAGATCTTGCCACCGCACTCCAGCCTGGCGACAGAACGAGACTGTCTCAAAAAAAAAAAAAAAAAAAAAAGGTTACTTATAGCTGCCATACACTTTCTCATACACCATGAAAACAAAAGCTCTCTCTCCACACAGTTACCCCACCAAACCCCGCTACAACCTTTAACAGCTGCAGCCCTTACTGGTTCCCTTGGTATCTGGGTACAAGACCCCAGCCCTCCCAGAACACTTCTCATCGTTTCAGTTTACACTTCCAGTTCTGTCTAAGCCAAGGACTTTTTTTTCCTCTGTGGTTCTTCCTTTTTTTTTTTTTTTTTTTTTTTTTTTTTGAGATGGAGTTTTGCTCTTGTTACCCAGGCTGGAGTGCAATGGCGCGATCTCGGCTCATCACAACCTCCGCCTCCTGGGTTCAGGCAATTCTCCTACCTCAGCCTCCTGAGTAGCTGGGATTACAGGCATGTGCCACCATGCCCAGCTAATTTTTTGTATTTTTAGTAGAGACGGAGTTTCACCATGTTGACCAGGATGGTCTCGATCTCTTGACCTCATGATCCACCCGCCTCGGCCTCCCAAAGTGCTGGGATTACAGGCGTGAGCCACCATGCCCGGCCGGTTCTTCCTTTTACATCTGCCTTCCTACTAACTGGACAGGAACTTGTACCCTAGTTTTCCTTACTTCCAAAATTCAGTTTGCCAACAGAGATGAAAACCTCTCTGTTCCCCTTGAGATCCTGACATGACACAAGTGGGTCATTTCATTGAACCCCTTATTTGTAGGGTTAGGAATTACTATTGTACTCAGCACGGGCATAGCAGGCCTTACCACTTTGTCACCTTCTGTAGCCTCTCTAATGATTTCTCTGGAAGGGGTTATGGAAGACAGGAGGGTACAGGGGTTGGTACAACCAGGTGGATGGGAAGTACAGTCTGATTAATGAGGCGGTGGTCTTGCTCTAGTCTGTAGAATTTGTCTGGTTTTCGGACAGCTAGGATAGGAGAATTGTAAGAAGTCTTTGTAGGAATTAAAGGCCATGTTGCAATAGACAGGTGATAACAGGCTTTAAGCCTTTTAAAGCCTGTTGTGGGATGGGGTACTGGCGCTGGGCGGGCTAAGGGTGGTTAGGTTTTAAGTGGGTGATGAGGGTGAGTGACTTGTAGCAATGGATGGGGAGGTGGGTCCCACACCTTAGGGATATCTCAGCCTGGTCTTCTACCTACTTCAGATTTTCCAGGAACTCATCTGGAGTGTCTGTGTAGGTCATAGAGGTTAACATGATGTCCATGGGGCCATCAGTCAGCCTAAAAGACCTTACAGAGGTCTTTGCCTATTCATAAATGAAGAATGTTCTTTTTATGTAAACCAGTCTGGCCTCGTATATGATGCCTGGATGTCAGGCACCTCAGACCATTTGCCCATTAATTGACAAAAATTGTTTAGGTCTCGTAGAATACAAAAATCTTACTTGGTTAAAAAAAAAAAAAAAAAAAGACCTTACAGTCACTTTGTATGTCCAGCACTCTTAAAAGTACCTGGTACATGGTAGGTAATTAATAAATTGATTATCTATTTATTAATTTAATTTCATTCATCCGTTCATTCTCAGTAGTCATTCATTTATTATTTCCTATGCCAGACCCAATGCCCCACCCTGGGAAGACAGATGAATCAGACGTTTTTGATCAACTTAGTGTGATGGGGGCAGGATAGACAATGATGACAGTGTGCTCGTTGTTGTAATATTGGGGAGAGCAGAGACACTGTTTAGCCTAAGTCCTGTCTGCAGACTAAACTAACTATGTCTTGCTCAGAAAGATCAGGAAGTAAATAGCCCCATAGAGCCCCTGCCCTCAGCACAGATGGGGCTTTGATTCCTCATGGCATGGGGTATGGAGAGGACTTCCTGAAAGTCCTTTTTGTTTTTTGTTTGTTTTGTTATGTTTTTTTGAGACAGAGTTTCACTGTTGTTGCCCAGGTTGGAGTGCGATGGTGTGATCTCAGCTCACCATAACCTCTGCCTCCCGGGTTTAAGTGATTTCTCCTGCCTCAGCCTCCAGAGTAGCTGGGATTACAGGTATGCACCACCACTCATGACTAACTTTGTATTCTTAGTAGAGATGGGGTTTCTCCATGTTGGTCAGGCTGGTCTCGAACTCCTGACCTCAGGTGATCCGCTCATCTCGGCCTCCCAAAGTGCTGGGATTACAGGTGTGAGCCACTGCGCCTGGCCCTAAAAGTTAACTAGTCATACACTATGACAAGAAAGTAAAGCAAGCTGGACACCATGGCTCATGCCTGTAACTCAGCACTTGGGAGGCTGAGGCGGATGGATCACTTGAGGCCAGGAGTTTGAGGCCAGCCTAGGCAATATGGTGAGACCTTGTCTCTACAAAAAAAATTTTTAAATCAGCTGAGCGTGGTGATGTGCTCCTTTGGTCCCAGCTACTCAGAAGGCT